GGGAGACAGTTTGACTAGTCTAAGCCTGGAAACAGCTAGCCTGGCTTCGTCTGAGAGGAAAACTATACTATAAACCAAAATGTTAATAAAACACATCGTTGTTTTCAGTCATGAAATACTCTCAGCCAGTTTTTTCCCAGTTTTCATACCTTGTTCTCAGGTCAGTGATATTTTATACATCAACATCACAACAGAGTATGCAATTAGTCAATATTCTGAAAAATAATGCTAGAATTTAAAATTTCTTACATATTTAGGTAGTATTAATCTAATAACACAACACAGGCAGGTCAGCTCAGGGTGTACTTTAAAAACATTATGTGGATTTCTTACACCACTGATAAATATACTTTCAATTTGTGCCATTCCTGCTCTAGAGGTTTAAATGAAATAGTGGCTTCCACATCTGCAGGAAGTCAAGTCACTGGTGTTTATACAGCAGCTTTAAGAGGACAGACATTGACCCAACATTGCAAATTAGTCTGTGTAGGAAATTAGATGTAGAAGTAGATTCAACTGTTTGGTAGGTACTGTTGTGCACTTGAAGAGTTGGTGAGATGTTTTTTTTTTTTTTTTGGCAAAGTCTCCCGTAGACATTTATCCACCATCGTTTCCCTCGTTGCAAATCTGAATGCAACAACACAAATACAAAATTGTATAGGTAGGAGAGTCAGATAAACATTTCTTGAATGTCCCTCTCAGCTTTTGTTTTCCATAACAAGAATCCAGGGTGTGTTCTGGGCTGCAACATTCTGCATAGTTGGGAGGGTTAGTGGATTTGACAGTTCTCCAAGTGTCCCATAGCCCTGAGTTCAGCAAACGCGCTCCAGACACAACAGTGACAGCTGGGGGAGGGATAAATAAAAACAGTGTCTCTAGCTCCATTACAAGACAGCAATCCAGACAACAACCCAGTAGCCTGTGTGCGCGCAAACACAACCACATACAGCGAACAAACACACGCACGCTTTTCCTCACACATTCACTGCTTCACACTTACTGTGTTCACTGCTGCGAGGGCAACAGATGGAAAAACGAGAGAGGCGAGAAGAAGGGGAAAGCACCACAGAACATAATAAATGCTGTTGGACTTGGCCCGTTAGCAACCAGCATTCCTCTGACAGGTGTAACATGTTTACCAAACAAACAAGCATCGCAGATGTCAGAGAAATGAAAATGGTGGCTTGAGGTCTCATGACCTGTGAAAAGAAGCCTGGTATCCAAGTTGGCATATCTATGAGGACTTTGAAGGTATTTCAGAGAGATGAGAAGACTGCGTGCCACACCAGGATCGCAAGAGTGTCTCGCAGAATTTGTCTTATGTTACTCGCCCCAAGCATCCCAGGCAGCTCTGGTTGTTAGCCGGGGCCATCCAGGGTCACCGGCACTGATGGGCAGTTTTTAAGCCTCTCACTTTGCTGATCACATTCCACTTTGGGGCAGAAGGAAAATCATCTCAAATCACAATCAAGCAAAATAACCACTTGGACCTGTCGAGCTAGACATGGGCACTTCCTCTGTGACCTTGATCTCCAGCAGAACCACTTACACCCGACTGTTTCCCCAGCAAGTTGACTAATTTGTCAGTCGTTGCCTTAATGTCGTTTCCATACACATCAAGCATCTCCAGATAATAGTCTAAGACTGAGGAATCCACCAGAAAAGCTTTTTAATAGAAGTCACCACTCTTATGACCTGCCAAAATGAAACACACTATCATTCTGGCTGATAAAAATGTGCACTTATGTCAGTCCATAGCTGCAAACTGCCAGTTGATTAGTTTGATGTTCTACTGGTGGAAAATAATTGGAGTGAAGCACATATTATCTAGCCCGAGGCACCAGCTTACCTTTCCAGAAAGGAATGCAATCATTAGCTCTGAAAGTCATTTATCTTGTGAGTCCATGTGCTCCTCTTTGACAAAGTAATGATGTACACTTACTGCACTGTGCTGTGAGTCGAGAACAAAATGTGATGAAAAACGGTTCGATCGCCAACTTACATGATTTAAAATGCACCAAAATCTCAAAACAACCAATTTACTGTCCTACATAATTTGTCCTAAAATTTTGTGTATAACTCTGATAGGGTCTTGAAGTCATCTGATGTCTAAAAACTATGCTAATTGGCAGTTTAACGCAGTTACTCTACAATGTATAGCCACATGCTACTATAAATTAAAATGAAAGTAGCTTTTTTTTAAAAATAAAAATTAAAGCTGCATTAATCAATAAATTAGATCCAAAGTTGATCAGTTTTATATGTAATATGAAAGCTGAAAGTTGCTACACTTGAATGTTGTTGATATTTTGCATCTCTCGTTGTGTTTCTTTGTGGTTATTTATTTCTTTGTGGTCATTTTATGGCCGTCAGTGGTTGTTTTATCTCTTTGTAATTATTTAGTGTTCTCTTGCTGTATTTTACATCACTTTGTGGTGTTTTTGTGTTTCTTTATTGTCATTTTGTGCCCCTGTGGTCTTTTTGCATGTCTTTATGGTCATTTTATGTCTCTTTGTGGCCTTACTGCTTTTTGTGGGAGGTTGTTCTGTATCTGTGGTCTTGTGTGTTTGCAGTCATTTTTCATTTTCCTGTCTTTCAGTCTCTCTAAGGCTATTTTGGGTGTCTTTGTGATAATTTTGCATCTCTGTGATTTTCTTATGTCTTTTTGTGATTTTTTTGCATTTCTTTGTATACATTTTGTGAGGGTTTTTGTACCTTTTTTTATTTGTTGTTTTGTCTCCTATTGATAATCCTTTTTTTTGCAGCGTTTTGTCTCTTTGTGGACTTTAAGTGTTTCTTTGTGGGATTTTTTTTCCATCATCATTTTACATAACTGTGACTTTTCTTCGTCATTTTACCTGTTGTGTGGGTATTTTGCATTTGTAATTGTTGTACGTTTCTTTCTTGTCATTTCGCGTCTCTATTCATGGGACTTGGGGATTTTTCTTCATGATCATTTGGCATCTCTTTGTTTTACATCACTTTGTTGTAATTTTGCATTTCTTTGTGGCTGTTCTAAATGTGTTTTTATTTTTTCTGTCTGCTTGTGGTCACTTTGTTTTTCTTTGTGGCTGTTTTTTTAATGCCACTTTGTGGTGACTTTGGCGCTGCTTTGTAGTCTTTTTCAGTCATGTGTCTCACTAGTGAGCACAGTGTACAATCTTGAGAGTGAATCAGAGGTTTAATTCCGTCGTTGTACCTTGAGGGCTGAACATAATGATCTGTAATGCAAAAAAAAGAAGATCATCTGAGGACAAAGATGGATCATACACAGCAACACACCCACACTCCCTCCTGACTGCTGCACGCACATCTGCAAACGCACCGGCCCATATTTATCCTATATCCTGGCATTAAGAGCAAGTCACATCACATCAAGATGTCAGTCAAGTGAAGTGATGCTCTTAACTGTTACGAAAATAAAGGTTGACAGAAGACAAAAGAAAAGCGGAGATTGGAGCTGCATGCAAACATGACACAACATGTGAGCTGCGACAGCAAACAATATAATCACAAACATTGCATTTGGAAGTCCTTCATTATTTCTAATGATTTGTGACGTGGCGGGCTTTGAATGTCACGCTGCTTCACCTGCAGCTAAAGTAAAGCAATGAATTAAAGAAACAAACAATGAAACGAAAATGTAATCCATGGAAACCAAACAAAATACAAACACGCAGTTGAATATTCTTCAATTAACGCCTCCCTTTGAAAGGCCATGTGACCCAGATGTAAAACTCTTTAGGGTCTAAGCTGAGAAACTTTATGATCTGGCAGTTAATCCTGTTTTCTGAACATCTTTTACAACTTTGAGAGCAGAAATATGGATGAGGTGCTTCGCTCCAGGCCAGAGCAGTGCTTGATCCAGGATAAGAGACACGTCCTCATTCTGGGAGGAAACATGTTAACCCCTTCAACCCCTAAGGTTATGATACATGATACTGAAGGTGCTGAACTTAGCCATATAATTTAGCTCGCGGAATTACAGCTGCCTGTATTCCTGAGACACTCTCTACTTAACCTTGCTTCCTGGTGAGAATGCCTGAAGAGAGACTAAATACTGCTGGTTTAGTTTGTCTCTATTCACTTGTGTTTGTCAGTCAGGCCCAAAATTGACAGTTTAAAGTTATAATCCTTACGGTTTTAATGAAATGAAATCCAACTTGGATGTTACTCCTAGTCTGTATGTGTTAAGCTACAGCCATTCAATGTTTGTACATTTATTAATTACCTCTCTACATGATAATTGTCATTGTTAAGAGTAGGATTTGCCAATACCTTGATGGATCCAAACTGCCTTTTAATATACACAAAATCCACATGAAAACATGACTCTCAAATTAAATGGTCACTCTTCGGTGTTGGACACTGAGTCCCAATTCAAGAGCTACATTGTTTGAAGGCTGCATTCAAAAACTGAACACGTCAAAGTCGAATGCAGTTTAAAAATGCACCCTTCTTTTCCTGGCATCAGAGCATTGTATCCTTTGCAGCACGACCTATTACATGATTAATTGCGCACCTGTAATGGTTGGATTTTTGAGAAAAGACTCCACAAGCTTAACTTTGACAGCTTTCAAATGTAAGTATTGGGTGATCTCCATTTCTTCCGCTATATGATAAAACAAACATACAATTTTAAAAAGTCTATCTGTCAACTTCATGCACGTGCCAGCTTCTGGTGTGTGTGTGTGACGCAAAAGAACATTTTAAACAGAAAATACACCAGAGGAATACAGATCAGACTGAGAATTATCCACAGATGTTTATGCATCCCAAATCTGATTCCCAGACAAACGTGGTAAGATCTGAAATTATGCTTTGTAGCACAATCTGCCAATGGCTGTAGTGGAGCACCTGACTCAACTTTTACATGTTGGTTGTTTTAGAATTTGTATGTTTTCTCATATTCATGAGCAAGCAAATGGGGGAAAAATCCAAATAATTTATGAACGTTCCGAATGAGTTGACATGTGTATGCAAACCATCAAAAATACATGTACAAAACAAGGTAACAGTTTTACTTTTAGTCATTTTCAAAACGGATACACTACTGACACATTGTAGGGAGTCTTATGGAGCACAAAATCCGATTTTCTCGCATGAAAATTTAGCATACATGAAGGCCTGCTTGGTAAGTAACAGATTTTTACTCGGGTTGCATTTTAAAAAAAAAATGTAATTACTTCTTTATCAGCATAATTTGGGTTGGTTTGGTTGCATTTTAACCAGACACACCGGCTGCTCTTGTGTTGTTGTAGCGGCTTAGTGAATGTTTGCTGCCGTGTTAAACCACACTTGCTGTTACCACCAGTAACTAGAGGCGCCGCCAAATCAGCCAGAGTGGATCCCTCCTTTAGGAGGTGTTTGCATGATGAAAGTACACCGAACAGAAACAGAGCATGAAAAGTCTGCATATTTCACAACACTTAAAAACAAAAGGGGGCAAAATCTGTAAGATCATGTTTTTATATGTTACACACACGATGTCAAACAAGGCACAGTGCTGCATAGTAAATGTACAAATCAAGGGGAAATTCCAGCACTGTATGCACTGTAAAAATACACTACGACTGATAAAACTATGCTGACAAATGTGGCCCCATGCTCCAGTGAATCTCTAAGGGGCTGAATGGCATGGGAATGAGCTTTTACCAGAGACACCGGGGGAGGAAGAAAGGAGTCCCATTGCAAAAGAGTTGAATTACCATATCACTGAGGAGCAAATACAAAGCTCCTTGAGAGTAGTGGGGATCCGTCATCCTGTGAAGAGTGGTGCTGAAATGTGGATATTTCTTGAGTAGTCAGACAGCACACAGTGGCAATAAGCAGTGGGGACGATCACACAGTTTAAATGGCACACAGAACATCTCAAGAATCCTGTGAAACAGAAGTAGACTTGGAAAAATCTCTGGTCAGTCTTCTCTGTAAACAGTAGGAGACTGAACTTAGAGCCAGCAGTACGAAAAGTAGCAAATCTATTTCATTAAATGTTAGAGTTTAGATGCCGATGTTTCCTCGAGCCATGCTGTAGCCCAGTTTGTTCTGGTTCCCAAGGAAAGACATGGCGCCCACATAGGTGTCGATGTGGATCGGCTGGTTCAGAACCAGGACGCCATTGGCTTTACCGGGAACGGGCTTTGTGACGTGGGCTTTCTGGGCTGCATCCTTGAGCTTCTCACGAAAGTTCTGGATCTGTGGACAAGAAGGTCAGAGGATCAGAAAGTATTCAGAAAACCATACATTTTTGTAAACTTTAGTCCCTCTCTGGTCGTTCACCCTTAAACCTCATCTCTTTATGTTTCTTTTGATGAAAATAATCTCTCTGTGTCTTCACATGGTTTTGATGTAGTGCCACAGTTAACAATTGTTTTCATTGTCGATTCATTCGTGAATAATTTTCTTGACTAACTGATTTGGTCTACAGAACATCGAAACAAGTGTTTCTCAAAGCCCAAGATGTCTTGTTTGTCCACAACCAAAAGATTTTCAGTTTACTGTCTTGAAAGAGTACAGAAACCAGAAAACATTAAGAAGCTTAAGATTCAACGATTTAGATCTGCTTTTCTTTACAAAATTACTCAAACTGATTAATCAAACACGACAATAGTTCACAATCATTTAGATAGTCGACCACAAATTAATTTGTGCAGTTCTACTTAGATGTAACTCTACACCGTTGCTTCATCTCGAATGTACAGACCTATTAAGTCCTGTCCCTGTTTCTCCATTCACCACTTCACCCCGCGCTGCAGCTCAAGCAAATCAGCTCACCTACAACCCTACAAGTTGTGATACTGCAGTAAATTAGCCATATATGTTTAAACCAGAAACTGATTCTTAGACAGAATAATGATACAGAAAGCCCCTCCCTGCAAGCTGACAATATTGATTCCTCAGGGTTATTACATCAAAACTCAGAAGTCTGAATCCATGTTTTCACAAATACACTACAGGTTCAGGGAGGAAATGCTCAGCTTCAGGATTGGCCACTTAAATCTCTGTTGATGTGTCCTGTAGCATATAAAAAACACCATATGGACAAGACAACAAGGTAGTAAACTTGATTTTCGCCTAAGAGTGTAGTTAAATGGACAGACATCTTCTTTTCCATCGATCTGAAATAAATGCTCCATAACACATTTATGAAGAATTGAAAAATTCAGTGTTTCCCTTACAGCTGTACAGCAGGCATAGTGGGCCACCAGGACACTGAGCATCTCCACCTGACCAACAAGTGTGAAAACTGGATTGGATTGTTTTCCCACTCATACACCAGATATAGATTCAACCTTAAATTCCTTCTGCAGTATATCAACAACCCTAAACATTTAGCCACAGTTGTAAAGAACTATCTTCAGCCATAAGAAGAACATGAGGTCCTGCAACAGATGGTCTAGTGCCTACAGAGCCTGAAGGAGTCATTGTGGGATTAAATGAGGAGACAGAAGAAACTGAGACAGGCTGAATCCACAGAGAAACAAAGGAACTATGGCAACTCCGTCAAGATACTTGGCACTAAAGGGCTGCATTGAAACCCTACTGAAATCTCATGGGAGCTGGCAGTCAAAAGGTAAATTGCCTGGGATTTATTGCTAACCAGAAGGACACGGTCAACATGCAAAATTAAAATGAAGATCCAAAGGGATTTTACAAAACAAAAGCAGAGCAATACTGACATGTTGATGAATTTCTCAGTTGTTACTATTAAAGATGAAAAATAGTTGGAGTTTGTTATAAAAACTTTGCAAATTCCGAAGTGTATCAGGAAAGTTCCAGGACTGGTGTCACAAAAGAATTTCAAATCCAAACTACAAGTTTTCCCCTTCAAAGCGATCTTCCTGCAGTCTAACTCACTTTCCCAGCCTTCTCTGCCATGACGCCATAAACTCCTGGATGCCATGCAGCTTCGTTGTCACAACCATCTTGATGTCGTCCATGACTTCAAAACAGGTCCCCTTGGTGACCCCCTTGAGCTTGGGGAAGAGAAAAAATCACACAGAGCCAGGTGGGGTGAGTAGGGAGGTCGCTCCAGCACAGCGACGTTCTTCTCAGTCAGGAACTGTCAGATGCTCAGAGCATTGTGAGCAGGCGTGTTGTCATGGTGAAGCAGCCACGACTTGTCCTGCCACAACTCTCGCCTCTTCTCGTGCACTGAACGGAGCAAACGCTGCAGGACCTCTTTGTAGACGTGCTGGCTGATCATCTGAAGGGGAAAACTTGTAGGTTGTAGTTTGGGTTTGAAATATATCTTTTGTGACACCAGTCCTGGAACTTTTCTGACACACCTCGTATACAGCAGGCACACATCTGCCACCTCTAGGTTGAGATGATATAGCTGCTCTGCTGTATCCAGTTCAAGTAATGTCTCCTACAAAGATAAAGCACTTCTTCCTTCACATGTCAAACAACATGCTACATGTATGAAGGTAATCTATTTGAATTTTTTTATTTTTTTTTTTACATTATTTCTGATCTGGTGCCCATTTCTTCATAAACACCACACAGTAAAACAACAACGATTCCCTGCAGAATGTGAAAAGACACAAAATCACAAGAAGACTACATTGTGCAGTTGGTACTGGTCAGAAATCCAGTGAGAGGATTATCAAAACAGCTCAGTGCAAGGTTTTACGTAGAACAAACTCCTAGTCAATGTCTAAATAAAATGACGCTTGAGCTTAACTTTTTAAAGAAGATGGAGTTTCTTTGCAACAGAGCAGCTTCGGGTTCGCTATTAAGCAAACCTGTTGCAAAGGCTGGATCTAATTCCTAAACTGATGCCTCCTACCTGCACAGAGAGATGAGTAATGGGGTAATGTGTGGGTGCTGCAGTTTCCTTTTGAAACTCACCCTGAGGTGCAAAGAAGCATCTACACTGCTGTACAAAAAACGTGTGCACTCTTAACTGTCTTTAATTTATTCCTTTAATCAGGAATCTTATGAAATTAAATGTGACACATCCTACTAATATCCCAAAACAACCCATGAGCTGTCTAAAAACATAAAAATAAATAAGACCAATGTAAAAGAATAAATTAATGAATCTAGATAATCTAAAATATCCCTCAACACTGGAGGCTAGAAGAGTGCACAAAAGGAGTATTTATACAGAGAGACAAAATCACCAATCCTAGAGTTTTTACTCATCTGAAGGTCAGATAGTTACTTGTGGCCTGTTTTTAATGTTAATTTCCAGGAATCTATTGGGGGATTTTTTTTCTGGAAAGATCATTTATGGCTGAATTCTTATAATTAAATGCTAAAAAGAGAGAGGCTCACAAAGGTGGATTTCTCTGTGTCACATCATCATAAAAGACCTTTACTGTGTTGCATTCTTTCCAAATGTGCTTCCAGGTCTCTGCACACCACTTTGAGTCTGTCAGCATTTGTGTGCAGTCACTGAAATGTGTATAATTTCCTCCAGCCTCTTACTCAGCATGATAACACAAACCGAGCCGATCAGTTTGACACAATATGGAACAAAGCTTTGCTGATTACAGTTCCATGCTGAGCTAACTGCTGTAATTGCTCATAAACATCTTGGTTATGTTGAAATTTCGGTGTAAGTTTTGCAAACACGTCTCACTAATCATAATTTGTCAGCACAAGCAGCCCTGACTCAAAGCTTAGACAAAGTACTCTGAGTGCAGTTTTTTTTCTATATTTTCTACATAGTTTTTCTGGTCCTGGGGTCCCGATGCGTGTCAGTTGTGTTTTATCAGGTGTTGAAAATGACTGATTGCACATGAATGCTATCTGATACCTAATTCCAGTAAGTCACAGTAAGTCTGCAATGACTCATTTGACCACACGATGAATCTTTGCTTTTTTTTTAAGTAATAAAAGTTAAATGTCTCTATGGCTCTCGGTGAAGTACAAACTTCCACCTGAATTAGCGACAGAAGTTTCAAAAGCAAAAAATTAAAATTGTGGCTTAATTCACTCAAATTACACATAAATATGTTCTCACAGAAGGCAGTCAGGCAGCTGTTGCATAGTTTATTGTTTTAAGGTGTTTTCAGATATCTGAGTTTCCTACTTCTCTGGAAATGACGGATGTCTACAGTGAAGTTATTCTTAGGAACCAGGACATTGTACTTGGAATGAAATCTGCACTATGAAGCAAATTCCTTTTGCCTTAGAGATTAAAGGTGCAACAAATAATTAACGGAGTCAGTCAGTTAAGTCAATGACCACAATGTGTTGCCATTCAATTTAATTGTTGATGTGTTTTTTTTGGAACGCTTTGGAATGAAGGCATTACATAAGTTGCTGCCAGTTATAATTATATAAAAGCATGGAGCGCCTTCTCACAGTCTGCAGACGTATGCTGCAAGTGAACCAATTTCAATACCTATAGTAGCTCATAAGAACAGCATTTAAAAAATTAAGGACCAGGTTTTCCACTGGTTTATTGGAAAGCCGGTGGTCTGCTGGGTCTAAGTTGATTCCTGCCAGGCTGAAGCATGACTGAAGATGCCCTTAGTACTGTAGAACCTCTTTCAGGACCATTTTCTGGGGAGAAAAGTACCTTCTCCAGGGTAGTACTTCTGAGCAGCATGAAACGCTGCACTGCAAGGCTCAGTGTTGCTTGGTTAAACTAGCAGAGAACAACAACGACAACATACTGCTTATTTTTATCCTCTCGATGTCTTTGTTAAGTAGAAGTTCTCTTGTGCCAAACATTGTCATCAAAAGGGTAAAATTCACCTCAAAGGTTAACTCAGCAAAAGGCAGCTTTCCACTGCAGGAATTCAGGCAGGCATAAGGTGGCACGAACATTTACAGGAGCGTCCCTGAAATTGTTTTTTTTCAGGCTAAGATTCAACAGCGTTAACTCCAAATGCGCAGACAACAATAAATAGTAGTTACTTAGCATTGCCCCAGTTGTATGAGGAAATAGAACAATGGAGGTTTGTTAAGTTAGCCACTATGGTGACTTTTATGTTGTTGATGGTTATGTTTGAGAAAAGACTTCTATTTGATGAGAAAATTGAAAGATAACATACCTACCACACTGTTGGTACTTTATCTGCACCAAAAACAGCCCTGAAAGAGTTTCTGTTGGGGCTGTTCCTGTAGTCGGGACACACATTAAAGGTTTCAGTTGCCCAAAAATGGCCTGCATGTTCTTGTCGTGGAAAACAGCTCAAACCCGCAGATATTTTATTTTATACATGTTATATAGAATTGATTGAATCAAGTAACTATTATTTGTTGTTGTTTCAGTCAGCGTTAACGTTACAGTTCAAGCTATTGGATCCGACACTGCAAAAGAAAAAGAAAGGCCAATTAGGGGGCTGTTGGCATCAGCTCCGAGTTCCTGCTGTGAAAAGCTCCCAATGATCAGAAAGCTCACCAGCGATATCCAACATTCGGACTGAGTCAACAATGTTAGCTCAGCCTCATGTCGATGGAGTGTGCATTTCGTCCTCTGTATAAATTCATGCTGAAGACATGTTAGCTTTTATGAACCCTGTCATCAGTCTCTCACCAACCTCGGTATCCCGTCAAAAAAAGACCTTTTGCTGCAGTTGTGTACCGACCATCTGACCAACAAAACACCCACTAAGCTTTACCGGAGCCCTTAATGTGTCTCTTATTTGAGATGCACATTAGAGTTTCAAACATGTGGTCCCAGCTGCCAACAACACAATATAAGCAAGCTAGCTATTGGAAACTGCTTTGTTGTAGCAGCAGTTCCCAGAAATCAATTTTATCCAATAATAATCCAATAATCAAAAGATTATTTGACCATTTACACAGTTGTTAGTTGCAGCCCTGGTTGGGATAGTGGCAGATATCACATGTCTCAAAGCATCTGCAAAGAAAATCTACTGACATTTTTAAGGCAAGTGGGGGAATTATTATTTTTTTCTTCTTAATGTTATAGAGTGAATTTAACCTTTAGAAAAGACCCTGCTGTTATCACCGACTGATCTACTCACGTCGCAGAGGGCAGTGAACGTGTCGTCGATGTTTCTCACAGGGTGGTACGTGAAGGTGATGTAGGGGTAGTCGGTGGCAAAGGGGTTCCACCTGGAGGTGAAGGAGGGCTCTCTCAGCCGGTCCCAGAAGATTCGTAGTCCCTCCCCTTCTCTCCTGAAAACACAGCAAAAATCAAAATGAGTGTCTCCCATGGTCACTGACATCTGACTCAACCATGTGACTAAACCTCTTAGTTCCTGTTGTAATCTGATGAATTTATTACTCACTGCGTTCTACAAACTAGGTGTTGCTTTGTCGTTGAGAATCACGCACAAAGCTCTGAACACCGATTCTCTCTATGCCTTAAGCCACATACAGGTATGGATACTTAAGTTGTAGGTTGATATGAGAATAATGAGGCACTGAGCTAGTATGTCCTGTAGCTTTCATTGTAGGCATCATATGGGAAACTAATGTCAATAGTCCTAAGTAAACAAACCAAAGGTCAGTAACCACGCTCGTCTGTGTAGTAACTGGATTCCAGTTGCAGTAAGTGTGATCTGACTCAGTCATCTGTGGTCAGAACATTCATCAGAATATTTGTCAGGTTTGCCAACTGTCTTGGTTTCAGCATGAGACATTGACTTTCAGTCTCTGGCTGCATCCACACGAAAATGTTTGTTTTAAAATCTGGAATAAAATGAAGAACAGTCTAAAGTCTTTCCTTAGAGTTTATTAAATACCGGTTGCATCAAACAGCAGCTGGATCTATCTGAGTATCCCCAAAGTGAGACATGTACTCATGTGCAACAGCATTAATAATTCGTCATTTGAAATTTGGCGTGTAGACAGGATCAGTCAAGATTAACTGTATATCAGACTGTGTACTTTCCACAAAGTCACAGTTTACCAGCTTGAGTCAAATCATTTGATACATTGCGGTTGTCCTCAGGTTGAGTCCTGAGCTTCATCACAGCTATGGGAACATTTTTATTTTGATGTCTGCACTGTAATAGTGTAATGTGAGTAAAAAAAAAATTGTCATGTCAAAGGTTTAATTATGGAGATTTTTTTTTTCCATTTCACAGTGGCAGGATATTTGCAGTAGTGACATGATTATGAGTATGTATACTTTCCATAACCTCTAATCACTCGCTAAGTAAATATGGCAACAGGTGGCCTGGTTACAAAGAAAACACATCCTTCAATGTGCAATTAGTTGCTGTAGTTACACAAATAGTCAATACATAATATTCAGTGTTCATGTATTGTCCATCATTTGGGGTAATGTTGTGTTGTAAGACTTTGTGGGACAGATAAAAAAATCCAAAGGCCTTTTTTGCAACCTTTCAAAGTACAGTACAGTAAATGTCTTCGTGTGCACCAATAAAAACGTGTCTGATATCAAACTGCTACATGCTTTGTCGGATCATTTTGCTTCACATCAGTTCACATGATTTCCCTAAAGGGGACAGACGGACCTATTGGCTGCATGGCAACAGTGTTAGAATAATGAAAAAATGGCACTAATCTGTCTTGGGGCAAATACTTAATGTGAGAGCAATTTCATGTTTACCAGGCTTAGAGGTAATCTACAGTGTGTTCATCATATTCTCTTCCTTCTGCTGCTCTTTCTTTACTCGTTTTAAAGCAAATACTGTAGGTTTTAATGAAAAAGCCCCCAGGTCATATCTTTTCTCAGCCTAATGAAACCTCAGTAGACTGAGAGCAAACAGACCTCTGAACACCCGCAGATCCCATCTTTGAAATAACGTCAGTGCTGATCTACCTGCTGTGAAGATCTTTACAATTCTCTATTTAATGTTGGTCCATCAAATGTGATCCAGGGATCTCATACCTCTAAGGCTCCACTATCTGGGGGGAATATAGTATCGTTCTTGCTGCTCAAAAGGTCACAGAGAGTTTAAAGCACTCTGCTCTGTATCTCTTCGAAAGGGATTGTAACCTTTCGGTGGGATATTCAAATAAACCTGAACTAAAATGTGTCAGAGAAAACAGATTCAACCCATTGAATCCTAAAACCGTCCAATGGGTTTGATAAGCATGATATCTTTAAAAAAGAAATACAAATAAATTGCCAAAATCTAACCATTTATCAGATGCAATAACTGTAAAATGGAAAGAATCAGTGGACTTTTCACTATTCTCAGGGTTCTTGAAAATATTATGGAATGAAAAATAAATTAAATCTAAGCTTTTGTGAATTGCAATATTTAACCAAAGTCATTTTATACTAGATGTTTTACTGACAATATTGACCAAAATTAATTGTTTGCACCAGATCCTGTAAAAAAAGTATTTTGTGTTAGTAAGATACGATTCACTCAGCTACGACCAGCAGTCACATGAACTACAGGCAGCATTTACAGAGGAGAACACAGGTGGAAATAAATTAGAGACACTGAGAACGAAGTCAAACATACTTGAGCATTACAATAAATGCATCAATGCTCAGAAATGAAAAGTTGTTGGAAGATACATTCAGCATGGTGAAATATCTTTCGAGAGCTGATGTGTGGAGTAGGGGGAAAGTGGGCCTGGTTTGTAGAGGTTTTAAAAATGGAAACTTCTCTCTATTTCTAGTCATGATTGTGCTGTCTCCATAGATGTGCAGAACTGTATATTGTAAAAAAAAAAAGAACCCACAGTGAGTAAAGTTGTGGCTGGAACAAAAGACCTCCAGAAACTCTCTGGGGTTCGGAGGGATAAACTGTGAAAATATAGCCTATGCTTATAGTTTACCCATAGAAAAACTAGAAAATTTTTTATTTCAAAGGCTGTCAAACAGGTGACAGCATTATAACTGAAAAACACCTTCATTTGTATTATAAATAATGAATTTCTAATACAAATTGAACACACTAGACATTTATCCTGTGGTGGCATTACTGTTTTAAGCCGCAAACACATTACACAGGCTGCAAGGCAGCTGTTACATGTGTCACTAGTATATAGGAACACTACTCTACTTGATCTCAGCTTGGTTTAGCGTGTGCTGGCTGGAGGTTATTAAACGTCACAGAAGACTGTCTCATGATGCCTCTTTATAAGCTAAATGCCCACCATACTCTTTGCCTGCCTCCTCTGGTCGCCATTGTAATAAACAGTGAGAGGCTTCACCTGGTGGAGCAACCAGGCGCTACAGCCAATCTACATTTCAACACTGACACACACTACAAGTGTGTGTTATCCATGAAAATGGTATCAGGCTTGGGTAGATACTGTTCTGACTCCTGTCAGTGACTGAAAAGGTTAAGTTCCCCCTGTTGGTGATTTTGAGTTACTGCGGCTTTAAGGATCAGGAACTTTCAATGTTCATGCATAAGCTACAAGTGCTCCACCACGGAGAGTTGGTTTTCTGAGTCTTGGAGTGGAACCAACAGTGAGTACAGATACAAATGATTATTTTAGTTGTTTGTGGCACTGTGATCTGGAAGATGGCGTTTGAGGTGTCTCAAGTTTGTTCGCTATCTGTCAGCCAGGACAGAATTGATACCAAATGGTAAATGACTCAGATCGGTTGTTCAGGGCATCCCTACCTTATACAAAGTGTTAATTTGATCTATAAGTAGGTCAGCTTTTTAGTGTGTGCTCTATAATGTTGTAGTTGTGCAACAAATATAACAGTTGAGTTAACTGGCCCATTGTCAGACACATTACCATCCCTTTTTCTTTGTTGCATCTGTTGCACAGAGCAGGTAAACAACTACCAGATTATTCAAATCAGTAGCTTGAAAAACCTGAAGTGACAGGTTTGACTCCTCAGCCTGAAACATTGTATTTGTAGTAGAACAACACAAGCAACTCTGCCACAGTAGCTTTATTGTCCTACTAAAGTGAAATGACCAAAAAGTCACAGAGAAATAATATACAAAAAATTCATTCAACACTGACATTGACAAAAGGACTAAAGTGACACAGGACCAAGTCTGAATCTGTACTGTATTTTTACACAGAGAGACATTGTTTGTATTATATGCTTCTTTTTCTGTCAACTATTCTAACTTTCTCAGAACATGATAAGACAACTAGAGACAGCTGCTCTTCATATTAGACATTTCTATAAGGACGTCATTTCCTTAGTCATTTGTGCCATACTGTGCATTATAAATCATGAACGTTCTGCACACTTGTGACAGTGACAATGATGTGCGTGGTGCAGTTAGAAAGTGTATGGAACATCACAGTCAATGCATGCAACATGTGCTAGCAACAAGTCAAGAGACAATGTTACAGTGTCAACATCTGGACCTGTGTTACACAAGTTTTTGTGACCACTGGGAAGTGCACATTTGCAGTTTCTCCAAGAGCGCACAGTTCTCAAAACCACACAAGACACATCAGGTCAGGAGCAGTTTCTAGTTTGTTTGCTTCAACATTCATTTTGTAGTAAAGCATAAATTAGTGCCTCAGGGTTGGACTGTTGAGACTGTGGTGCAATGGCATGTGGGTGCTCTAACACACTGTGGACCAGGTCACAGCAAGGTGATTACACACAGGTTTTTTTAGCCACAACAACACAGTTGTTGCTTGCCAGCTGCTGGACTGACTAGATTTGGTTCTCTATTACTTCTTCATCTTTACTAAAATGAAATTCCAGTTAAAGAGCTGCCATTTTGACACAGTTTAGGAGATTCAATGCAGATGGTGTCTAACATGTTTACATTGTGGGACTTCTAGGGAGCATTACAGGTATTGAACGAGCAATGGGAGCACAGGATTCCTGCACAAGGACACTAATTCAACAGGGATGGTGACCAGATTTCAGTCAGGTGTTTGATTTTTACAGGCAATGTTTGGATCACACTACATACAAATTTACACTAAACCCACACAAGGCTTTGCTGTTTATGTAGCATGGATGTGCAAACAGGTTGATTTGGTGTTCAATGTTGTGCAGAGACACTGATGACAGCTTTCAGGAGACAATTAACAGTGCTCAAAAGTGTTTGATATGGCAAATAAGGATTTTGTGATTCTGTCAGCAGCTGTAACAGATTTTTGTGTAAAACAAAAACATAAATGTGTAAAGGCTTATATACAATGTAATGTACTTGGTGATTTGCACATAATAAAAGATGACAAAGAAATGCAAAAAAAATAAATCAGGATGCAGGCGATTTCCCAACAGCATTCTGATTTCCTTAATGACC